GAAAGTTATGGTTTTGTTCTGACCAGTAATGAATTCGACATAATACAGGAGCTGACCCCTTAGGTAACTTCATGGGATTTGGGGAGGTTTGATGTGTTACTCGACACAACATTTACCTTTTAAAGCCAACTCTCTTACATAAGAGTAGTTGCACAGTGAAAAACTGGTACATCCAGGCCCTTTCACAGAGAGCTTTTTTTTGGGTGTTTTCTGATTGTTTTTAAAGTGTAAGTCTTTCTATAACCTGCAAGTTAGATCACATCATATTTCTTCCTGTATACACAGTATCCAAGGGTTACTGTAGAAGGCTAAAGAGAAGGGATTTGCATCCCAGAACTAACCACAGATCCTTAAGCAACTGTGAGAGGCATGAATCCAGTATGTAGCTGGTAGGCCAAATATCTCTGAGAGATAAATAGTTTTGTGAAAGCCTATTGAAATGCTACACTCTGTCCAAACCCTGGTTTTTATTTGAAAGTGAAGTATTACTGAAGTAAAATGAAGTGCTTCACTTATTTTTTTTTCATTTAGAAAATTTAAAATAAAATTAAGAAGAATTTTAGCATTGGAGTGCCCAATTTCAAGCTCCACTCTTTGAAATAGCAACACACAGGAGCTTTATTTCCCCAAACCCAGAAATCAGTTATTTCAGTAACATTCTGATTTCTATTATGTACTTACAATTCTGTTTATTGTATTCTAGGAAATTCAGGACAGAATTCGAATTATAGAGCTCTACGCTAAAGACCGCCAGTTTGCAGAGTTTGTTAGGCAGCATCAAATGTGAGTGAAATATCTTGTCTGGATAATGAATTCCTTTGATATTTTGTTGTGTGGCCTTTACATTACTGTATTATATTTTAAGGTTCTAGAAATGCTAGGACACTAGAGGCAAAGACTTCAGCATTATTTTTGAAGAGGTTCAACCCTTTTACAGTATTTAATAATCCCAGCAGTCCCAGGGGAAAAAAAAAAAAAAAAAAAAAAAAAAAAAAAAAAAAAAAAAAAAAGCTGTGAAGAAAAAAAAAAAAAAAAAACCCAAAAAAACCCAAAAAACAAAAAACAACAACAAAAAAAAAAACCAAAAACAACCTGTGAAGAGGAATAGAGGAATCCCAGAGTTAATGGGTGTCAGAGGTCTGACCTCAATTCAGGTCCTTAAAAGCACAGATAGAATCTTATTAATTCTTCTGGCGTAATTCCCATTGCCCAGTGCTTTGGTTAAAACCAGAAATTTTAAAAAGCCAAAACAAAAATGCTAGTTTGTCTTGAGTTCTCAAGATTTGGCAACTGACCAGCACCAGACAGATCATTGGTATAGTCCTGTCTGGTATGGTGGGCATCAGCTGTAACAGAAACTTTACAATTCCAAACAATTAATCAATCTGAGCTGTGTGCTTTGATGAAAGCTAAGAACAAGGAGGGTCCCCAAAGACTGAATTGTTAGCATGGACTCTATTCCTGCTGTAGGAAGCAGCAAAGCACAACTTGCTGGGTTACTTTGAACAATACTGTAGTACAATTCCTTGGCATCCTATTAAAAGTATATACAGCAGCAAAATCTCATGTTCCCAGATCTTCAGCAATATTTTGTTTTAATTGAAAGGAACAGCAGTTCCCATTTTTCCATGTCAGTAGTTAATTTTTTTCATCTTGAAAAGGATCAGCATCTAGATTTTCCACACCTGGAAACAGTAAGGGCTGCCTTGTATAAGCCTTGAATCCAGTGCTTGAAAGAGATGAACTTAACCACTGCTTTTCTGTTTTTCATTTTAGGAAGCTGCTTTAAGAAAAAAAAGAAATTGATAGAATACACATGGGAGATAAACGCTACCTTGCTGCCCCAGCAACAGACTCAGATGTGACTGCAAAGTTACTTATAGTCTTAACATTGCATGAATGGATACAGATGTTTTCTAAATGAATGGCTAAAATGTCCAGATGTCTGTTTATCTCAATTTCTTCTGGCTTTTCCATGTAAACTGACACTTTTAAGAGGTAATCAGAAGTGGCAGAGGTTATGAAAGTTCATTTTTCTTTAACTTCAAAATGGACATTGAAAGATTATGTATACAAAGGTAAAAAAAGAATCTCCTCGGATAAGAAAAGATACATGCACGATCAAAATAAAATGCACATTGAAAATCCCTGCCTGGCATTTTATCCCCTCACTGGAGCTTCCAGTGGAAATCTTATGGGTATAAAACACTAGCAGAAGGAAATATTTGATTTACAAATGAATGAGTTGTATGGGAGAACTATTGTGCTAGAGTTATGTTAGCATTATTTTAAAGCATTCACAAAATTTTAAAGCAGACACAAAACCTCACTGGAAAAGTTTTTCTTCTGTACAGATGCCTGATGTACATTTTGCTACCTGACATTAGCAAAGCAGAGGATAGCACCAAGCCTGCAGTCCCCTGAGGGCTCTCCCTGGAATACAGGGAGCCTTGGCCAGGCAGGACAGTGCTTCTGCAGCACTCTGCAGTGTCTTTAAAGCCAGGATGGGTGGTTCTCCAGCTCATTCTGGCAGACACACAAGCTGGGGCACAGAAGGGCTTCTATTGTACAAATATTCTGTGAAGCTTAAGTGACTAACGTTGATTTTTACTCTTTTTTTTTGTATGTAGACATTTTGTTTCATATTTTTTAAGTTAATTGCATTATTTATTTGTTGTGTGTTTCCTTCCCAGCTTGTTTTCATGATGGATTTAGTTGTTGAAATAGAATGATGACTAGTTTGAATAATGAAATACTATGTTGGCATTTGTGCCCATTTTTTTATAACTATCTTATATTTAGAGTTTATTCAGTGTTGAATTCAGCCAACTAATATTTGAAATTACTGTACTGGGCAGTAGCCTGCCATGAGTTCCCTTTCAAAATCAGGTACTTCAGTCCATGTACATTTGGTAGATATCAGCACTTTCCTGCGGGGAAGGGAAAAACTGAAATTATTCTTAGTTTATTGGAAATCAGCATAGAATTCCTTAAACAGAAGAAGCCTAAAGCGTTTTGAAATAGCTGAATTGAGAGGGGGACTTCCAAGTAAAGAAATGGAATTTTACCTTCAAGTTATGAAGAAAATTCTGACTATATGTTAAGCTGTGTGTGGGCTCTGTTCAGTCACCCAAGGTCTCTTGTTTAAGTCATTAACACAGCTGTCAGGGTTAGGGCATCAATTACAATCACATTAGCTTGTGCTAGCAAAAAAGGCCAAGTGATTTATTTCTACATCTGTAGTTCTCGGCCCCCATGTGCCAACAGCCACCTGATACTTTCTAGAGTTAAGTGACAGTGAGAATTACTTGGTTGTCTTTAGGCAGCTTAGCTAAACAACAGAATATTTCAATGCAATTTTTCTGCGCGTCCTGGAGAACCTCACTGGATCACTTGTGTAGTACCTTCTTGCCTTGAGTGGCAGGGGATGGGTATCAGAGCCACACATCTGTCAAAGAAATGCTTATATAAACCACTGAAAGCCAAATAATGCCAGACAGCAGGAAATATTATGGTGCTGCTGAACATTGTGACCAGACGTTATGAGACAGAGGCCCACGGGCTGTCAGAGCAGCTGGTCCAGACTTTGAGGCACAGCCCACTCCTCATGGCCCTGCAGCAGCACGGCTGAGCCATCCCATAACACCAGGGCCTGTGATCAGAGCAGAGGATTGCTGGGCTCAGGGTGGGCAGCAGCTTGGGATGTGTTTCTGCACAGTTCAGCTGCCAGCCCTGGGAGATTTGGTGCTGCTCCTGCTGGGTGCAGCAGTGGATGGCAGCTGGGATCACAGGTTTTCAAGGCATTCTGCTGTGCACAAGCTGAGATGAGGTTTGGTTACACTGAGTGTGAGGTGTTTCAGTGAATACACAGTGATATTTTATTTGTGTATGTGTGTATACATATGAACATGATGATATGTTTTCACTACAATAAAAAATTATTTCCAAAATATTTTTTCTATAACATTCATGTAGAGACTATGAGTTTGACATGGAGAAGGTGTCTTAGCCATGAGCATTTGTGTGTGTGTAGGATCAGAAAATTGTTTTACAGAGTTGGCTAAGCTGTTTAACTCCTTTGCTAACAAAAAGTGCCAAATATAGTTCATTAACAGTAGCAAGGTTACAGACTGAAAATTTGTGCTGGAAAGAACATTCCTGGGTGTTTGTTTTCAGTTAAACTCTTTTGAAGATGTTCCATCCCTAATCAAAAAGCCAAGAACTTAATCAATTATTGATTTTCTTTGGTACTTTCCCAATCCAAGACAAAGATAAAGAACTCTAAATATCCTAACAAAAGAAACAAAAAAAACCCCAAAACAACAAAAAAGCCAACCACCACCCAACCAGATCTGTGTACAAGTCTATCAATCTATTATCAGTTAGCATGCACTTTTTCACTTGATAAAGTAAAAAGTGCAGGTTTGAATGACTTGGCTTAATTTAAGAGCATGAAAAAAAACAGGTATTGTTTACTAAATGCTGATAGGTCTATCAGCATCTGTGGCTCCCCTCAAGGCTGGAAACACCGGAGAAAATGAGGCCCCCCCAGGATGCTACCAGCTGCCCCTTTAACAGAGGATCTCAAACATGCAGCAGCCCAGGCTGGATCTCTCAAGGCCTCATTTCTAAACCTCAAGGCACTAATCAGTGGCAAAATTCTACCAGGGCCCGAAATTCTAACAGCAAACAAGTGTTCAGAGCTGCAAGTCTAGCACACAAGCCTTTCAGGAATTGTGTGCTTGTCCTGCATTTTCTTTTTTGCAGAGCAGGGAGCCTTTCCCAGCAAGAAGCTAAGAGATACCAAGTAACTGAGTCTATTCCATGAAGCCCCAGACTGTGAGCTCCATGTACGACGAATAACAGTTTAGTTCCAGAAAAAAAGGCTTTTTCAGGTTCTCAGATACAGCTGAAACTACAGCTTCTCCTATCTCCTCCAGACCAAGGAAGGGCATGAATAAACTTTTCATGTTTTAAGAACTTACAGCTTAAATGTTAGAATGGAAAAAGCCTTTAATAATCAAGGTTTTCATTCACATTTCTCATCAGGCCTGCTGGAATTGGTTCTTATTCTAAAGGGCTGCAGGAGTATGAGAAGACTTTGAGCCCTCTGCCCCATGGATTCTGTGAAGAGAGGCACGCAAAGGTGCTAGAGCTCCAGCATAGGAACAGTCATCTCATCCTATAAAACAAAACAAAAATATTCACCAATACCAATTTATTTGTCTATCTGTAAGCATCATAGGACAGACACAGACTGACTCTATACAGCATAGGAAATGGGTCAGGCATCATTACTGCTTTAAATACTAGTAAAAAACTCACAGGGCTTTTTGTGGTGTTTGGTTTATTTGAAGAGTACTACAACACCAGCAGCATTTCTGTCTTATCCTTCTGCTACTTGATGCAGTTTGGGAACAGATGCATCATCTTCTATATAACATTGATCCATTTGCTTTGGTTTCATAACTGGAAAAAAATTCCAAAGCTATTCCTGTGCCAGGATTTTTTTTTTCATTTGTCAGACCAAGTGGGAAAGTTTTGGTTTTGCCGTATTTACCACTAATTAGCTCTCCTATTCTACATTATTAATGACCCCCAGGAATTTTTGTTGAGTTCCTGTCCTCTTTGACTCTTGTTTGTGCTGCTATTCACCCTCCTTGCTGGGTCACCCACCACACTGAGCAGTGCAGGCAGCTCTGCTTGGAGGATGGCAGCAGGTTGCAGGATTGAAATGTCACTTGCCTGAGGTGCTACAGCTGTTCCGAGGCCATTCCTTTAGTTTTCCTGTGTTTCCAGTTAACATAAAAGTAGATTTCAACTCTTAGTTGTTTCAGGATGAGAAATACTCTCAATACTAGTATTTTGTGAGACAGATGCTGTTGAGTTTGCATGGGTCCCCAGGACGAGGTGAGAGACTAGTGAATTTGACTCCATGTTCCTAGAAGGCTAATTTATTATATTATGATATATTATATTAAAGAATGGTATACTAAAACTATACTAAACTATAGAGAAAGGATACAGACAGAAGGCTAGAAGGAATGGTAATGAAAACTCGTGACTCTCTAGAGGCCCAACACAGCTGGACTGTGATTGATCATTAAGTAAAAACAATTCATATGAAACCAATGAAACAATCACCTACCACATTCCAAAGCAGCAAAACAGGAGAAGCAAATCAGATAATTATTGTTTATATTTTTCTCTGAGGCCTCTCAGCTTCCCAGGAGAAGAATCCTGGGCAAAGAGAATTTTTAGAAAATATCACAATGACAAGATGCCAATTTATATTTTTTTAAAATCAATTCTACCATCAGCATATCTAAGGACTTTGTTTCTGTGCTAAATATATTAAGTTGGAGTAAATTACACTTAAAGCCTAACCTTTTAGAAGGAGACATTTCTCCCAGCTCTCATTTATACAACTAAACCAACAAAATATGGCTATCTGTCTTGAATCATTGGAGATTTAAATGTTGTTCAAAGATCTATTAAGCACAAATTAGAGTTGGTGTTAATTAGGCTTGCAGTTTCATCTCCACAGCTGATTACCAGATGGGGAAACCATGCCTTTCTGGAAAGACTGACATAGCTTGAACAGAAATTAAAATGGGAGCAATAAAGGATATATCTATACATCAAAACTTTATGTGGTAGCACAGGCTTGTGGCTGGACAAAAGAGAGCAAGTGAAGAGGTAGATTTTCAGAGGTGAGCTTACAAGCAATCTGAAGTGTGAAAGATTTCCATCTACTCATGGGAGACAGCTACGAGGAAATTCACTCAGCCCCACCTAAAGATTACACAGTGATTGTATGATCACTTGTCTCAGAAAGGGAGGGGGATGCAGAACACTTCCAGCAGCAGCACAAGACTTGTTTCCTACTGTGACCTACAGGTAACTGCACTTGACTGTTTGTAGATCCCATCATCTGCTCTGTAAGGCAATGGCTTTTCTTCCCATCCCTAGTTTCACATGGAAAGATCAAAATGCTTTGATCCAAAAGAATGCTTTATATAGTCCTCCAGTAAATCAGAGACTGCTGCACAGCTTTTCCTTTTTCAATTTTTTTTATTATTTATTATTATTTAAAGTTATTATTAATTAAAATTTTGATTAAAAAATTAAACCGAAACAACCAGAAACAACAACAACAATGACAACTCAAACCAACAAAACCTTCCCGCACTTATTTTTAGTGTTTGCTTTTTACCTGCCCCCGTTAGGCATGGAGACAAACCCACAGCCATGGTGGGAAGGCAGTGTGGTCTACAGAACTCTTCCATGTCGAATTCTCACTTTGCTCTTTCCACCACAGCAATATTTATAAAGTCAGCATGCAAATATCTGTTAAAAAAACCCATCAAGTTTCAAAAATGATCCCACACTGGAATGTCCTCCCAGGGCTGGTAGGGAATGTGAATGGGAGCCTCACAAACACAGAAATTGACCCTTAAATCATTAGCATTATGCAGATAGCTCCTGATGGGACATGCCTAATGCAACATGGAATACACCAAGCTAAAAAAAGCAGAAGCAGTGGGCATGTGACTTCAGAGTAAGGTGGACGGTAAATGCTTTGGGATTATCTCTAACATTGATGCCACCACAGACATTTTCCAAAGAGCAAAGCACATGAGAGCTTTTCACTTATCTGCCAAGAAAAGAAAGGAAATAGAAGCTCCTGGTAAGAGAACCAGTCCACAGTTTGCAGCAGACCAAACCAGTCTCTAAAACGGAATCATTTAGCCTGGAAAATGGAATAAAGTCATGTCAGGAAAAACAAAGTAAATTAAGAGGTCATATTTTAAAGGTCATTTTTTTCCCCTATATTAAGAAGAGGAGAAATGCCCCACAGCCACTATGATTTGATAAACCTTCTAGTCAAGTTAAGCTTTTATGTAATTATCCTTAATATTGCTTTGCAAAGGAGAGGGCAGAACTCTGAGAATTTTGCCCAGTCAGGCCCTCTGCAGCCTGCTCTGCACACAGAGATGAGCAGGGAGGAAGGTTTAAGTATGCTGTTGCATCTATCCTTGAAGGTTACATGGAAAATTTTACTTCTGAAATATTAGTGAGGGATGTGCATGACCCAGTAGAGCAGAGGTTCTGCAGCTTCACTGCTCAGCACCTATTCAAGAACTGTCTTGTATCAGGTATTCTCAGCTGTCTGTGAACAAACTTGTGAGCTGTGCACTGTTTCTCTCCAGATGGAGCACTGCAGCACCCCTTGTAATCATTTAAAAACCTGATTAGCTGTGATGACCAGTATGTTTCAGAAGCACTTAACAAAACTTCCCACTCTTTAATTACTTGTGTGTAAAAACCAGGTGATTTTATAACAGGAAAAACTTGGTCATGGAGGAAAAACCTTGCAACCCAACAAAAATAAGAGAGCTGTTCAGCCCTGTAATATAGAAAACCAAAGATGAGAATTCTCCAACACTCATGTGAACTTCTCATGAACATTTCTTAAAGCAGCTCTCGTTAACTAAGCCTCCTGAGATACAACGGTTGTGCACTGTCCCCATTCTATGCTGGGAAAAGGGAAATCTCAAATTTAGCAAAGATCAGTCATTAGAGGATGCATTCAGGGACCAAATCTGAAAATCAGAAGTATTTATCCAGCTTTAAATGAAAGGTCATGCAAAATCCCACAGAAAATTAATGCTGAAAACCAGAACTGGTACAGCAAAATGCCATTACTTCGGCTGCATTTTATAAGACCATCAGCTGTCTCATACATCTGGGATTATTTGATCATTTCAGGACATCTGCTGATCTCCAGGGTGCTTGCCTCAAAACCCCTGCCACTCTGAGCTTTCTTCCCTCTATTTAGTATCAAAGAGCTTAAGCTTGGAAAGGCCTAATCAAAACTTGGTTCAAATTAAAGAAGAAGTCCAGCCCACTAGCAACAGTAATACTAACTGCTCTACATCCATATCAATTGGATCCCACTTTGGAGTGCTTTTGAGGCTGGGAGGAAGGAGCAAAAGATGGGAAGAAAAACAGAGAAAAGACAAAGCTGCAGTCTGAGTCAGCAACAAGAGCTCAGATACAAGTTTATGTGAAACTGCAGAAACGGAAAGAAGTCTCATCCACCTGTGTTTATAGGGTCTTTCCAAGGGCAGGACAAAGAACTGATGTCAACTTACTCTAGTTAAAAGATTTTTGGATGATTCCAACTGATTAAATCTCATTTGCAGCTGCTTTCAAAATACATTATGGACAAACAGGGTTCTCCTGAGCATCAGCAAGAAGACCAAGGCAACTACAGCCTACCAAGCGTCAGCTCAGTGAAGTTGCCATAAAATATGGAGACCACAAAACAGTTGATATCATACTAGAGGGAAGATTGCCAGCTTACCTTGAGTTCAGGGCAGTGGTCTAGGGATAAAGATCCCGTGCAGGGTAGCACAGATTGAAGTTCAGTGAAGGCTAACTTGCCCTCCTGGGTAAGCTATTCTACATGGACTGTGAGGTTGCTCAGGTTGCTTCCAGACCAGGGGACCTCACAGAACACACAAGTGATGGTTTGATCAGTGCTGGTCTGCTGCCTTGATCAGAAACTGGGCTCTGGAAAAGCAGGTTGGCTGCAGCTGGCAATTGTTGGCCTGGAAAGGATCATCCCATGGGGCAGCCCACATGACCCTGGTCATTTCACCTGCACTGACAGCAGCTGTCCTCTCAGCATGACCCCTATCCACACCTTCCCTTGGGTAGGGAGGCCAAGCTCTCTCCCCAGTAATGACAGGGCAGTTCATTTTGGCCAAGAAGGGGTGCCCTGGCTCTGGTGGGTACTCACATCTGGCACACACAGTGCTGTACTGGTTCTCCAAATGGCAGAGGCTAGAAGGGCGCTGGGCACTGCTCACTGCCAAGGGTGGAAACACTGCAGCTGTCAAACAGACATTTTCCAGTGTCTCCTGAGCAGACAGAACCACAAAGAGAAAAGTGTTCTTTGATTCACCTCATAGCTTATTATGGAATGTGGTTTCATGACGGACTCCTCTGCAGAAGACATCAGCTACTGGTACAGCTTTTGCTTCTTAAAGGAAGACTGAATAAATGCAGTCCTATTCCAACTGTCAGCATAAGGTTTGACATTTTACTTGCTTTTTTGTTTTTGTTTTTGTTTTTTTTACTTAGAAATTATTTCTTTAAACCATGCTGGATTATCTTATGCCTATCACTTTCAAAAAGCAACCTGTTTACTCAGATATTGACACATTACTGAGAAATCTGCCACAAGGTGTTTCTAGAGGCACTGTGTTGTAGTCAGGGTGCTTTCTGCAGAAAGTTGGCTGAACATCATCCTGGACACTTAGTAGGTTGAAGAACATTCAGCCATTGAATAAATCCCTGAGTGTTGTCCCAGAATTGATCATGACCCAATCTTGAAAAATTCTGATCTAGGTAAACTCCTTCAACACTAATCCTTTCCTTCACACCTCCCTCCAAAGCTGCCATCTACCCACAGAGTCACCAAGGTCCAATCTTTAACTGTATCTTCAATAAACTCTGCTCCCAGAACCTCAGAACAGTCTCATCCCAGTCTAGTAGATCCTTGCCAGCAGTGACAGTAAGCACTGCAGCTCATAGCAAAACATTTTTGGCAGTAATAATTAGCTATTTTCCACCCAAACATGTATCACTTCCCAAGTTATCACACTTATCTGCAGTTTGCCTCTCTGCTGAGGCTGCTAGTGACAGTCCATAGCCACTGGAGACTGCAATGATAAGCCACCAAATCACTATCCGAGGACAACTGATTTTCTAGTTGGCACTGTATCTCATGAGCACTCACACAAAACCCCATGTACTCAAAGTTACATTTCATCTGAACATTATCCACATAAATAAGTATGGATGTTAATAAAAGGGAGATGTCAGCACTAATAGGTGTGGAAAATTATTTTAGGAATAATGAATACTTTGGGGATTTACAGTAGCATATGGTACCTTTCACCTCCAATTTACTGGTACAAATCCAGCTAGAGCAGCATGGATAAAAACCTTTACCATCTGGTGACTTATTACTTTATGGAAAATAAGCAGGTGTTTACATCTCACATACAAAAAATCCACCACTATAACTGGAAGTCCAGTTGACTTTCTCAGTAGACAGATCAAAGAGGGGTAGAACACTCTTCTCCCCCTCCAGTATAACTGGTCTATTTAGCTGAGAAGTGAGGACAGCTGAATGCCAAATAATACTACCAATCCAATATCAGAAATTAAAATATGAACATATTTTATTCCCTTTATTAGGGAAGAGGATGATTTATGGTTTTCAACCCAAAATCTCATCTATTTTTCCTCCATCATAATGCCCCAAAGCAGTAGGTGTAACAATATTCTCCTTTCCTAAAAGCTTTATCTAGCTTCTTAAATCATTGTGGCTATAGCAATGCTACTTTACCATGATTCACATTTAGCAGCTCTCATATCACCCATAACAAGGAAGCCTGAAGTAATAACTTCCACGCCTCCGTGAGTTCTTTTGAACAATATGCATTTTTATTCAAGAGTACCATCCAAGTTTGATTTACCTGGTTTGTTAATAGATTTGCTCTCTCATGCTCCAATTTCTCCCTATGTGTTAGAAAGGTTTTTTGCTAAAAGAAATATTATCATTAATAGTGTAGGAAACATGCAAGCAGTTACTGTCAGTTTTAAAATTAATAGCAACAGGTACATAAATGACCTCTGAATTTCCTGTTTACTTATCACTTGGAAATGTGGAAATCACTTTATATACAGCAGAAGTTACTAGATGTTTAATATATCTAATCTTTCTTAGTGGCATATGGGAGCTTCTCTGAATAACTTGAAACTGGGATAGTCAAAAGATCATTTGCTTGCCTTCTTTAAAGCTCTATTTTTATCCCAGAGCAAGTAGTGTGTTTTCGGCTGAGGCTGAATGCACACTGCTTTCACATCATGTAAGATCCAGGAACGCAAATCGCATCAGAGAAATCCCTTAAGTTTCCTTGGCAAATCTGCACCTGTTGTTTTGTAGGCTCTTAATAAAAAAAAAAAAACCAATAAGGGTTCTTATTTCATTACGCCATATACACTTTAAACACTACTGATCAAAGGCATGACAATGCAAAGAGACTTTCTATTCTTTCTCCTTAGCCTGTTTTATTGGGATGATTAACACACACCAAGTAAGACAAAGCTAGAAATAGCTAAAAGGGATTGAGATCTGCCAGAAACACCATCTTACAAATCATATTATGTCTTTTCATATTCCAGTCACACCAGCTCCCTAGTCTGACCACCTGTGCCTGGATACACTGGCAGGGCTCCCCAGGGAACATTTTCATGCATCTGCTAAACTTTTC